CTCAGCTGAATCCCATCTACCTATGCCCACACCCTATTCCAGGTGCCCGCCATCAGGCATGCATTCAGGACAAGGATCCATCTATCCTGATGGCGGAAGGGCAGAAAAGCCTGATTATTTTCTTTACCCTACAGTCCACCCCCTCAGGGTTTTCTGCCATACAGTCTATACATATATATACAATTTTCTAAGTAAACAAACAATGCAGCCATGGTCCACAAAAGCAAATACATCAAATATAACAAAATACAATATAACAAAATACAACAGAACACAAATAAGTCCAGGCAGGGCCCCAACCTAGTGCAAAAGACAATTATTGGTACCAGCAGATGAGCCACCAAATCTGCTGCCGAAGGCACTGCTCATACGAGGGAGGGGAACCACTCACGGCATCTGCTATAACATACCAGGAGCCGTCAGGCTTCCTGGCCTTCTCTGGCTGTAGTCTCGGCTACTAGCCACACACAGAATCCACCCCCAGGATGCACTCGCTCTGGGATTGGCAATTTTATTCTGTTGGGGGTAATCGCCAACCCTCAGGGTTTCTGTCTGCAGTCGCTCCAACATTAGGCCTTCATGGCCACCCATGCGACTCGCAGACCCCTGCACTCAGGCCAACCCACTGCACAAGCACATGGGTCGGGGATCAAAACTCTACATGCGGCTTGGGCTCCACCTCAAGCCACGCTCCCCACCCGTCTCCCAAGGACAGGTTCCTCAGCTCCTCACCCTCACTCAAGAATGAGCAGGGCATCACCCACAGGTAATTTTACGAGACTCACAGGGCTTCAGCATACTCAGGCTGCTTAACAGCTGCTCAGGGCTTCTCAACTTAGCATCAGCACCAGCTTTTGCCTTCTTAGTTGGCTTTTCTCCTCCACCTGGCTGCTGGGCATAACAGGCTGCTTTTGGCCATCTAGGCCCACTGGCCACCCCCAGATTCTCAAAAAAAAAAACATAACCTGCCAAGGTCCTCCACCTTCTGGCGGGATTGTCAGTCCAAGTTCATCAGTCCATGTCCATCAGTTGAAGTCCATTGGCCTCTCCCTGCTTCAGCAACGGCCTGCTGCCTCAGGGGTCATTGGCTGGTCCTTTCCGGTGTCGTTGGCTGGTCCTATCCGGTGTCATTGGCTGGTCCTTTCCGGTGTCGTTGGCTGGTCCTTTCGGGCGTCTCCTTCATGCCAGGTCTCATCCTGTAGCTCGTGGACGTATCCATCTTCTATACCGCCATGGCGCCTCCAGAGTCGTCACAGGCAGTCTTTTACTCCTTAGTCCCTCCAGGTCTTCGGAGGACTCCAGTACCCGTCTGCATGGATCTTGCCGACTTACGCCAACTGTAAAGGCAGGAACTGGACCACAGTGCAGATTTTCTGATCCCATGCAGACCGGGTAAAGGAGGAGTCAGAGTCCTCAGTAGTTTTGTAGGTTTTTTATTTGGGGTTCACCAGGCATATGGCAGGCAGGGGTGCTGGCTGGGGGGCTGGGGGCTGGGAGGCTGGCAGGCCTCCCAGCCCCCAGCAAGTCTTTACTCTATCTGGGCTCTCTAGCGTTCGTTCTGCTGCTTCTCGGCTTCTCTTTCGGCTTCAGCTGCAGCTGCTGCTGCTGCTGCTGCTGCTGCTGCTGCTGCTGCTGCTGCTGCTGCTGCTGCTGGCGTCCCCCCGTGATGCCGCCCTTAAAAGCACAGTCTTAGCTCAGCTGAATCCCATCTACCTATGCCCACACCCTATTCCAGGTGCCCGCCATCAGGCATGCATTCAGGACAAGGATCCATCATCTATCCTGATGGCGGAAGGGCAGAAAAGCCTGATTATTTTCTTTACCCTACATCAGTCAGTTAGGAACAGGGTGCTCCAAGCACCTAAGTCCGCTTAGCAGCCTGATTGAGAAACACTCAGTTGGAACTAGGAGGGTGCCCTTACTCCCCCCACCCCACAAGCCCTAGGTCCATTTGTCAGTCTGATTGGAGATTTCAGAACACCAACACAGTAATGCGATGCTAAAGCAACGGACCAAGGCTAGTTTCAGGAAGGTAGGCCAGGTAACGTGGGCAAACTCAGTGGACCTGGATAGCCTAGGAGATCTCCACAAACTTAGTGGACCTAGGAGCCTAGGAGACCCCCTGGGGCCAACCAATCAGCAAGAGACATAACATGGAGACACCCAACTGCCAAACCCCCACTCCTTGCCCACTATACCCATATAAGCATCTGCTTCTTGCCACCTCAATCAGCTACCCCGAGGGCCCCCTCTCTGTTCAGAGAGCTTTCCTGTCCTTCTTACCTACCTATCAATAAATCTCTTGCTTTTCTGTAACTCTGGTCTTGATGTTGAATTCTTTCCTCGCTGAAGACCAGCCAAGGAAGAGCCTGCCTGGGGTCCTCGGACTCCGGGCCTGCTCCTAAAACCCCGATTCATCTGTACCTCCCTCAGCCTTTGGGCCCTGATGGGACTTGGGTCTCATTATAGGTCTAGAAGGAAAGAAGGGTGGTGGGAGCAGACCCCTAGGGGAATCAGCAGTGCCTCACAAGGCGAGCGCCACAGAGAAGGTCATTGCAGGTTCCTCAGAAAAAATAGGATTAATATTCTGGGTGGGGGGTTGCGGGGGTAGGAGTGGAAGGGCTGCTCATACTGGCAAGAAGATTCATCTGAATTTAGAGGTTAGGTGTCCTCAGATGTCCCCATTCCGGTGTTCATGATCCCATTACTTCCCAGTCAATGCCCTCACTTTAACAGCAGACACCTGCGAGCGTGGGGATTCAATTTGTGTTGTAATTTAGCCACTCACAGGATGAGACTCTGAGTTTGGTTTCCAGCAGTCTCAGCTCTGTAGCTACAGCAACGAAGAATTTATTTCAGGACGGACATAGCAATTATCAGGTCGTTTACACAGTGCTTGAGCTGGAAAATCAAATCTGTGAGCTCATCCTTTTCTTTCCCCACTTTATGAGTGCAATTAGGAGCGATAAGCAATCTTATTAGACTTGTAAGTTTGACAAGAATTTCTCTGCCATCAAATACATGGTCACCAAGAACCTTTCCTCTTATAAGCATTTGATTAGAAGTGGTGATATTTGGTATCTCTTTTGCTGCATCATGTCATGGACTATCAATCCCTTTTTTACGACTAGACATCTAATCATGATGTCTAGTGCCTTTAAATCTAGTCAGAAACCCCATAACCAATTCAGAAAACTTATCCTTAAGATTCTGTTCCTCTAGAGCTATACTCAATACCAAAATCTCTATTATAGTTCTCCAGAGAAATGGAACACAAGGTATACATATGTGCACACATCATCCTATATATCTGTATCTGTCTGTGTCTGTCTATCTGCCTCTATCTATCCATCTCTCTATTCATCTATCTATCTCTATCTCTATATATGTATATACAGGAATGGTGGCAGAGGGATTTATTTTAAGGAATTGGTTCATCTTACTGTGGGGACTGGCAAGTTTAAAGTTTATAGGGCAGGCCAGCAGGCTAGATATTCAGGTAAGGGTTGATGTCCCAATCTTAAGTCCTAAATTTTCAGGGCAGGCCAGCAGACTGAAAATCAAGGTAAGGTTTCTGTGTTGCAGTCTTGAGGCAGAATTTCTTCTTCCACTGCCCATTTGGTATCCCTTTTGCCCTCAGCAAGTATCTCAGCTGATGGTGGTTTTTTACTTGGTGAGATTATCCAAACCTTCATTCCTGAAAGGTCTGAGCCATTGTTAATCCCACTTTTGTTGGATTGTTGTAGTTTTCCATTGACTTTAATCATAGGGCATGTTACCCTGCCTTGCGGGGCCTCCTGTATTCTAGACATACTCTTCTTTCCCTCCATTGTGATATAGCTTTCTGATTTCTGCTTGGTGGTCAGGCTCAGCCACCGCAGTCAGTACCCCTCTGTGCCTGTTGATTCAGAGGGATAAGGAGCCCAGAGTGTTCAGGTGGCAGACTCAACTGCAAGCTCAATGGAATTGTTGTTGTGTCTCCTGGTGGCGCAGTCCTCCCTTTGGAACTAGGACCTCTAGGCCAGCAGATCATCTGGAAGCAAAGTTTTACTAGTGGATCACTAGTGAGTGGTGCCATTCCTGGCCCAGGGCCAAGGTGGGGAGCACCCTGGTGAGCTTGGAGGACAGAGCATCAAACCACTGAGGGTTATTCTCTAGCCTTAAAATCTAATGGAATTTGTGCTGCTAGGTTTTGAACCTGCTTGGGACCTGTGATTTCTTTTTTCTTTACTTCTGACTTCTGTCTTTGGAATGGAATGCCCATCTTATGCCTGTGTCACCAATGTATTTTGGAAGCAGATAACTTTGGAAGCAGAAAACTTATGAAGTTTTCTTACACAAAATGGCACAGATTTTCATGGAAAGTAATTTTATTCCAGGATGACTCATATCCAGTCTCACCCAGAACAGACTTCGGTGATTTACATGATGAAATGTTCAGATGAAATTTTGCACTTAAGAGTTGATGCTGGAATCACTAAGACTTTGGGGGATATTGGGGTGGAGTTAGTATATTTTACACACAGGAAGGATGTGAACCTTAGGGGGTTGGAAGACAGACTCTAATGGGTTGCATTCGCCTCCCCCCACCAAAGATACTTGGAAGTCTTAGCCTCTAGTATGGCAACTTATTTCAAAATACAGTCCTGACAAAGATAATCAAGTTAAAATGAGGTCTTTGGAGTGGACTCTAATCAAATATAACCAGTGTCCTTATAAAAAAAGGGAAATTTGTGCATAGAAGTAGACATGCATAGAGGAAAGACCAAGAGAAGACACACAGGGAGAAGATGGCCTTGTATAGCAGCCCTAAGGAAACTAACGCAGAGCCTCCATGAGGGTATCCCCACCTATTCTCAGCTGCTTTCCCTGGCTTTGCCTGCGATTCTTCAGTACCCTTTCACCTTCGTAATGATTACTCTTTGTAATGAAATGTGTTTACTTTACCAAGAACAAATGGAAAGCAACTAGTTGCTTTCAATTCTCTATTATGTTAACAGGATATGAAATTCCCAAACCAGAGGTGATCTTCAAGTTGGAGAGAGGAGAGGAGCCATGGATGTTGGAGAGGGAAATCCCACATCAGAGCTGTTCAGGTGAGTGAGTGGGATTCAGGCAGGACACATGGACATTTTTTTTCCTAAGAGAGGTTGATGCCTTTTGAATGCTGTTATTATTGCTTTTTTGAAGGTTCTAAACTTTAGATACAACTTCAGGATAAATAATGGTGGCCTCTCAGGTACCAAATTGTTTTCTCCCTTTATTTCCAAGAGAATTGCTGCAATTCCTGTGCTCTGGGTCATACATCAGGCTTCCCTCTGTCGATCTTGCTTTCTCCACTATTCTCTCTTTCCATTCTATCTTTACACTTCATTACTTAAACCCCACCTCCAGGGTCTTAGAGTCTTACAAAATACATTCAGGTTTTAAGGGATTTGTTTTCCTTGCTCATCAGTCGGTTCCCTCACTCCTGTTCTTCCTCATTTGGTTTCACTTTCATTTCTCATTCTAAGATACCAGTAGTCACCCACACCCAGCCTCACCCCCTGTTCTCTTTGTAGGTCTTGCCTTCACCCTTCCCACTCCTTTCCATCTCACCTATGTCCAGGCCTCTCTCCCATCTTCTGACTTTATGATCACTGTCACTTAACATTTTTCTTTTAAAATCAACTTTACTAAAAGAAAAATACCGGATGGTCTCACTCATAGCAGGAATCTAGAAAACTTAAATAAGGGACCAGGAAAATGAATAACTACAAGAAAGTGAAAATCAAAATCAACAAAAAAACTATGAACCAGAGACACTTTTAGGGGGCGGGGGTGGAGGGGAGGGATTGGGGTCAGAATGGGGGGGCTGCAATTGTATGGGGAATATAACAATAAAATTTATTAAAAAAAAAAATAAATAAAATCACTTTACTATAGTTTACATATAACAAAATGAATGTATCCATTTGAATTGCACAGTTTGATGAGTTTTGATAAAGGTACATCCTGTTATATCCACCTTTTGTATGATATCCATCACACAAAGCACTCCCTCATACCGCTTGTCCCTGTAGATTAGATTTGTCTTAATTAGGGTTTCTTATGATGGACTCCTACTGTATTGCTGTTTTGGGTCTGGCTTCATTTGTTCAGGATAATTTTGTGAGTCATCCATGTTATTGATTCTATCACTAGTTTGTTCCTTTTAAATGGTGAATAGTGTTCCATGGTATGAATATATTGCAGGTTGTTTATCTATATACCTGTTGATGGTAAATAAAATTTTATTGTAAATAAAACTGCAGTAAACATTCTGGTATATCTTTATGTGGACATACTTACATTTGTGTTGGGTAAATACCAGGAATGGAGTTGCTGGGTCATATAAAAGGTGTATACTTTCCTTTATAAGAAATTGCCAAACTGTCTTCCAGAGTGGCTATGTCATTTTACATTCTTAGGGCAGTACATTAGAATCCCCATTACTCCGCACCTTCACCAACATTTGGTGTGATCAGTTTCTTTAATTTTTTATATCAAAATACATGTGTAATGGTATCTCATTGTGTTTTTCAGTTGCATTCCTCTGATGTTCAGTATAATTTCATGTGCTTATTTACAATTTGTACATTTTTTTTGTGAAGGGTCTATTCAAATTTCTTTCCCATTTTTTGTCTTATTATTGAGCCATAAGAGTTATTTATATTTGCCAGATATAACTCCCTTGCCAGATAGTTGTATTGCCAGCATTTTAGTATTTTGTACTAATTTGTGTCTTGCAATTTTATTTTCTTCCTGGAGTCTTATCAAAGAGCAAACATGTAAATTTTGATGAAGTCTAATTTATAATCTTTTGAAAGTTTTTAGTACTTTTTTGTGATCAGTTTAAGAAATCTTGACTACTGCAAGATCACCTTCTTCTGTAAGTTTTATCATTTTAATTCTTTCAGTTTAGGTCTATGGTCCATTTTGGGTGTTTAAGGATTGATGTTAATTTTTTCAATACAATATCCAATTGTTCCAGAACCATTTGTTGAAGAATCTTTTTTTCCATTGAATTTTCTAGGCACATTTTTTAACAATTAATGAACTTAAACAATTGAATCTATTTCTGAACTCTAGTCTATTTAATTGTTCTATGTCTTTTTATTTTAAAATGTAGGTTTTAGTATTATTCAGGCTAACAGATCCAGAAATGATTGCATTGAGAAGATAGTTGGTAATTCAGTTTCTAAAAGGGGGGGGGGCGTGCCACACAGGGCAAGGCCACACAGAGAAGCATAAGGATCAGTCAGGAAGCAAAAGATATGAGGGGAAAGCGATGGGCAGGAGTCTTTATTGTGATTATCATGGGAAAGAATGGGTGAAACTGAGTGAGCAGACTGGGAAAGTTGAGGATTGGCTAGTTTGAGTAATTTCAGAGGTCTCCAATGTGTAGGAACTATCCTTGGTACCTCACCCAGAGTAGGACAGAGGCAAAGCAGCTCTAGGTAAAAGAGTTGATTGGTTTGGTTGTTTTGCATATGAAAGGTATCCCTAAAGAGTCCTTTGCTGTCTCTGGGAATTATACTAATGGGTGGGGAAGTCTCTCCTGATCTGCAAGGCTCCTCAAGGCCCTACTTGCCAGAGCATCTAAAATAAGAAAAGGAGGGAGAGGGATCAAAACAGGGGAGGAAAGAGCACAAGGGACTATGGTGATGGTGCACAGGTGAATTGGTGGTGGGAATTTCACGGGGACAATACCTGAGAGGAGAAAGCAAACATTGTACAAAAATGAACAATGATATAATAAACAAACAAACAAACAAACAAATAACAACCATAGCATAAAAAAAAAGGAAAAAACCGTTAATACTTTTCTTTTGGCAAACCCATATTTTCTTTATTACTGTAGCTTTTATAATAAGTCTTAAGATCAGGTAAGATAAATTCTCCAGCATTGCTTTTTTTATGTTACTTTGGCTCTTCTAGGTTATTTGTATTTCCATGTAAGTTTTATAAACAGATTTGTTTGGAATTGAGTTGACTTTCTAGATCAATTTTAGGAGAATTGAGACTTGACGTCTTGACAATATTGAGCCTTCTAATCCACAAACATGGCTTATTTCTGCATTTATCTAGCTCCTTAATTTCTTTTTTTAATAAAGATTTTTATTTATTTATACAAGAACTGGGGTACAGGCCAGAGGCACAGGAGGGTGAGAGGACTCACCAGAGACAGAGCGGGGAGCAGAACAGGCAGACTGACGAAATACATTGCTGAGGGGAACAGTGGGCGAGACAGGAGAGGTCTGCCACACCATGTGGGACCCTCGCTGGCCAGTCGGTCGGGAAGGAACTGGTGCTGCAGAGGCCGTGGACAGCTTCACAGCACTGTGCTCAACCGCCTGCGCCACCAGGGGAGGCCCTAGCTCCTTAATTTCTTTCAACATAGTTTTACAGTTTTCTGTGTAGTGGTCTTCTGTATCCTTCATGAAACTTATCCCTGAGTATTTGTTGTTTTTTGATACTATTGTGAATGACATTATTTCCCCCCCCATTGCTCATTGCTAGTGGTTGATTTTTTTGTACATTGATTTTGTATCCTGAGGCATTCTGAATCTACCTATCAGTTTTCTTTTCTTTCTTTTTTTTTTTTTATAGAGGCATGTTTTCTTTCTTTCTTTATTTGTTTGTTTGTTTATACATGCACTGGGTACAGTCAGAAGCGCGGGAGGGTGAGAGAATTCACCAGAGCCAGAGCGGGGAGCAGAGCAGGCAGAAGGACCGAAGTACACTGCTGAGGGGAGCAGCGGGCGGCAGGAGAGGTCTGCGCGCCATGTGGGACCCTCCTCAGGTGGCCGGGAAGCAGCTGGGGATCGAACCGGCGCCGCAGAGGCCGCAGGCAGCTTCGCAACCCAGCGCTCAACCGCTGCGCCACCGGGGAGGCCCTACCTATTAGTTTTCTTGTAGGTTCCTTGGGGTTTTTTATATAAGCAATCATTATCACTTTTTTTTTACTTTTCTTTTGTAATCTCACTTTCATTTCTATTTCTTTTCTTGTTTCACTGTCTCAAGCCTTCAGTTTGATGTCAAATAGAAGTGGTGAGCATGGGCATGTTTGCCTTGTTTCCAATATTAGGGGCAAAATATTCATACCATAAGTATGATGTTAGTTGTAGGGTTTTTAAAGCTGCCCTTTATCAGATCATGTATATTCCTTTCTAGTCCTACATGTTGAAGATTTTTGTTGTTGTTGTTTTCATAATGGTTAGTTAAGTGTTGACTTGGTCAAATGCTTTTTCTTCATCCATTAAAATGATCGTGAGTTTTCACTTTTATTTTGTTAATATGTGAATTTATTGATTTTTCAAGCACTACCCTAAACTAACCTTGCATTTCTGAGATAAATACTAGTTGATTGTGATATATTATCCTTATTATAAATTACTGGATTCTACTTACTGATATTTTATTTGAAAATATTTTCATTTTTTATATTGGTTTGTAGTTTTCTTTTTTCTGTTGCAATGTCTTTGTCTGGTTTTGGGATTAAGGTTATGCTATTAAGTTGTGAAGGATTCCCTTCTTTATTTTCTGAAGTAGTTGGTGAAAAAACTGTTGCTTTTTCTTTTAATATTTCATGCAATTCACCAATGGAACCATCTGGACCTGGAGTTTTCTTAATAGGAAATTTATAATAACAAATTCAATTTCTTCAATAGACAGGGCTACTTAGATTTTCCTTTTGTCAGACATAGTAGGTTGTATTTTTCAAGGAATTTGTCTATTTCCTCTGTATTGTCCTATCAAATCTGTTATAGTCTTAGAGTACACTCTATATGATTTCAGCACATGGTCCACGTAGGGGAATTTTCCATGTTACCTGGAAATAATATACTCAGCTGATGATGGGTGTTGTGTTCTATGACACATATATTAAGTAGGTTGTATATTATTGGAATCTCTTATTGCCTTATTGAATTGTGTTCTACTTGTTCAGTTATTTATAATTTTGGGGGTAAAAGCTAACAAGAAGATTCTAAGTTTATATGGATATCCAAAGGATCTGGAATGGTTAACACGGTCTTAGAAAGAAGAAAAAGATTTACACTACCTAGTATTAAGA